CAGCTAGAGCAGCAGCGGCAGCAGCCTGGAGCTGTGCGTCCTTCACCATTCGTTCCTGTTCTGTCTCACCTGTACTCTCTGCTGAGCTGACTACTGCCTCCTCTGACTTCTCTTCCTTCACAGTCAGATTCTCCTCAGTGCCAGCTACCTTCTCTTCAGCACTCAGCTCCTTGGGACTCTCCTTCTCCTCAGGCTTTTTATCTACTTCCATTGGCTCCACCTTGTCTCCTTCTTTCTTCTCTCCATCTGACCCTGTTGCCTTTTCTTCACTTTCTTTCTCTCCCTCTTTCTTCTCCTTGTCCATGGATTCTTCTTCCTTCTCAGGAACTGTACCAGCAATTCCACTCTGGAAATAACATTCAAACGCATTACACACATAAATATAATAACAATAATAAAATTAATTAAAAAAATATTAAAAAAACTTTCACTTTGTTATGCTTATTAGGTTATTTTGCAATACTGTTTTAACTTCCAAAGTTATGAAGAATCCAGTAACATATGTTAGAAATGTTGTAAGCAATACTGAAGAACTACACCATGGGCATTAGAACAAAACGTAATGTAAAAATATTCCACTGACACTATAGGCAGGTGGACTCCGTAACACAGCTTTTGAACTACATTATACTTCTGGCTCCCTGGATATGCGATACATGAGTGCAAGTGTCAAAGAAAAATCCTGTCCACTTCACAGTAAAAAACAATAACATTTAAGAAGTGTATACATACTTGTGCCAGACCAGCTGATGGATCAAACTTCCCATCAGTGGATGATGCCTCGACATTCTTAAAATGTGCGTCCATCAGAGCTGCTGGTACTTCATCCTGCAAAAGCACAATAACCAGGTCACTTATCTCAAACTAATCACAACCTCATTCTGAAACAGAATGAGAGCAACTATCTTCTCAGTAGATACCACATCCAAACGTTTTTCAAAATAATAGTGTAACAATGATAGAATGAGCAGCCTACAATGGTAACTACAATACAGCAAACAAAATAATCAACACCATTATTTTCTTAACTGTGTGTATATGAATAACAACATGTAAAGCAGGGGTCGTCAACCTGGTCCCTACCGCCCTCTAGTGGGCGAGTCAAGCTTTCATGGTAGGCGGTGGGGGTTTCTGTCCGTTGTTACAAATTTTGTTCTTCCTCCATATATCGAATACATTGCTAACAACTTCGCAAGTATGACTTCTTAAAATATGCTTTTGCAATTTACTTTTGAATTCCATCTCTAAACTCTGAATATATATAATAATTCACCGGACACTTCTCGAAGTATACTCGTGAACGAGGGAACAACAAATGAGCTCCGTAGCCAAGGGCATGAGTTTAGTGCACATAATGAGGGCGGGGCTTACCACCGGCCATCACTCAGTCTTCGAGATGTTTCGAAACCTCAATCAAAGCCTCGGACAGACAGACCTAACAGCTGAACGGAAGAGGAGAATTGAGGAGGCCATGGACCAAATACGGACTGGAGAGCCATACAAGAAGAAGAAGAAGTACTGTAGTCCTGGGCAATCATGATAATAAGATTAATTCAGATGGCAGTGCTCGCAGCAGTGAAGCATAATGGTGATTGCATGATGTTTCATGCTTTTATTAATTTTCCATGCTACTGCAGTGTTGGTAGACATTGCGTGTGCTTGTGTAGATTTCTAGAGTGGGACAAGCAATATTTTCTATTTTGTCTTAGCATTAGTGCCATTCAAGTAACGCGTTCTTGAAAATACTATAACAAATTGGATGGGCACCTTATTCAGGGTGTAAACACAGTATTCATCTTGGCATTTTAAGGAATGAGGGAGCACGGGAGATTAGACAGCATTCGCTGCTCAGTACTTCTGTCCAAAATAAAATTTCTCCATTGTACAAAACACACAGTACAAACCTACCTTGATACTAGCAAACTCCTCCATCGCTGCCTTTGCTGCTGATGCAGCCACCCTTGGGTCCACCACTGACGCAAGGAATGCGACAGTGGACATGATGGGGTTGCCTGCCTTGCTGAAAGGGATGGGCTGGTATGCTAGAGGTCCAAGTGCTCCTCCCCCTGCTTCATGATCCTCAAGGTATGGATCTTCAATAGGCAGCCTCAAGAAGTGCAGAATGCACTCATCCTGTGTCCTGCTACCGACATGCTCACAAACTTTATTCCAGTCATCCTTGTACAGCTCCAGACCTTCCAGGAGCAGCAGCGTCTCTTGTTCTGTCCACTCGCGGGTCATGCTGGCCGCTGTCTTGTTACGCAATGCCGCAGGTTTCCGTGCATACCTGTAACATAAACATATTGTGACGTGTTGCTTTGA